ATCAATAACAGGAAGAGAGAGAGAGAGAGGGGAACAAATGGACGAGAGGAAGAGAGAATGAATTAAGACTAAGAGAGCGACTGTTAGAGCTGCAGCTCTCAGCTGTTGTCCTCGCCCCCCAACTCTCTCTCTCTCTCTCTCTCACACACACTCAGGGCAAGCAAGGTGCACTGGCTGACTCATGCACAACACACACACACAGTCCCTTCAATCACAACTGGCTTAAAGGGCCAGCAACACACACACACGCACACGCACACGCACGCACACACACACACACACACACACACACACACACAGTGGCCTTTATTTTCAGGGCACACATGCCTTCACACAATTAACAATGCAAACCCTGCCAACTTAAACCAATGCACGTGGGGAGCTCACGCGCACACACACGCGCACACACACGCGCACACACACACACACACACACACACAGAGACAAAGGGTAAGAGTGTGTTTGGAAAAATGTGCTTGTTGATGCAGATTAATGCAGACCGACAGAGACAAAGAGGAGATAAGACAAGAGTGTATCATATACATCTAAATGGAAATATGAATGAATGAATCACATGATATGACTAACAGACTGAAACACACCTCCTCATGACAGTAGCAGCAGCTAATCCCCTTAAAATCAAGACCAGTCCAGTCTCATGATTTGTGCTGCCTGTGTTTCCTGTGCTGAAAGTCTCTCTCCTGTATCTTCCTGCTGTCTGGCCTGTGTGTATAATAATTTCTCATAACTGTTCTCAGACAGGTGGAAGCTGAGTCAAGGGCAGCTAGTAGCTGTAGCTAGCTATAGATACTAGTCTGTAGCTTACCCGAAACAAAACCAGAACTTTGTTCCATTCAAATTCCCATTGACATTTGTAACAAGGCTAATAACTAAAAATCCAGCCTTTGAACAGGGGCTTTCTCAACAGTGTGTCATGTGGCTTTGTCTAGATAAGGGCCGTAGTTTCATTGTTTATCCAATATTTCTGTTTTCAATTACGATTGACGTTGGTGGGCAAAGCTCAGCTCAGAGAGGAGTTCATGAGAGGGTTGAGGGGTTTCAGACACATGGAATAGAGACTAGCCCGGATGTTGCATCACTGCCAAAAAGTTTCCTGAGAAGTCGGTGGTACTGTGGCTGAAACACATCCTGTGCAGAAACCATACATAATCAGTCCAAAAGAGACGAGTTGTGTGCAGCATAATAACGTAATTGTGAGATAAATAGCCCTGCATAATGTTAGCTCAGCCCCAGACCTTTTCATATTCCTAGAAACCCTTCCGGTAGACACTGAAGGGGGATTGAAGTCTGGTATAGACAGGGTGTAAAGCTGCATTCAGGCAGAAAAAAAATCAAAACAATCTGCAAGTCAGTGTCTAACTGTGTGGAAAAATTACTGAAACAAGGAGATTTGGAGTTTAAGACACTTCATGTGACCGAGTGTTAAAACCGGTGTCTAAAGGTTTAAAAAAAAAAAAAGTGTTTTGACAGACAAGAGCGAAAAAGTCAGTGAAGGAATTTAAACGATCATCATGCAACCTTTGAGTCCGTACAGTTGTTTCTCACGGTTGACACTTTCAGGAATCACAACCTTTTTACATGTTATGTTCACTTTCACATTGACTAGAAAAAGAGAAACGATGACACCAAAGTGAGGAAATAAAAAGATCCGGCATGTGCACATGAGGAAAATTGTTCAGGAATGGTGGTAGACTGTGGGCAAACATCGGGGGGGGATTCCTGTTGCTCTTTTATTTATAGTGCGACCCACTGGGCTTGAGTTATGTCATCAACACATTTAGGGATTGTGTGTGCACTCTTACTGGAAGGAGCAGGGGGCTGGGGGGGGTTGTTAGTACTAAAAATAAGAAGGTGGACCTGATTGTGTGTGTTCATGCAAACTGCAGGTTAAAGCTCTGAAGTGCATCTGCATGAACTATAGTCATGCTTTAATTTCTCTGTATGCTGAA